CGCTTTGCAATGTTCCCTATGGGGAAAAATCGCTTTGCGATGATCGGTACCCTGTTTCGCTTACCGATCATCGCAAAGCGATGATTTTTTAACAGCTGATCGGCAGTTCCAAAATGGCTGGCGGGTAAACAAAATGGCTGCCCACTGTGTTGCCTCGCTTTAGAGGCATCGAAAATAGCTGCCGCAATGGAGGATTTTCGCCTAAAGTTAGTTTTCAAGCCCATAGATGGAAATTAACATGTCCCTTGAACATGACACAAAGAACAATAACAATAATAACTTTTAAAATTATTGAGGAGCCAGATGTTGGGAGTTCGATTCTTCACTGTATCTCCTTGTCAGGGGCTGAACTCAACGATCCACAGGGTCGCTTCCAGCTCTGCAGTTCAAAGGTTATTATTATAGGTAGAAGCATGAAAAAGCAACTCTGCAGCATACAGAGGACGGTGCTTCGTGTTCTGTACTTCAGGATCCACCAACAACCAAGATCCAAGCAAAATTAGACCACAGGGTCTAATACACACCTATTCTGCAGAGGTTCTGCTACAACTTCAGTCTGAAACCTACACTTAGAATTCCACACTAGAGATGGGACGAATCGGGGGGGGGGATGGTGATTTGACGCAATTTGTCATTCGTCAAAGTTGATGAATCGATGAAGCACCAAATTTTAGCAATGACTGATGAGTATTTGTTGATACATCCTTAAAATACGATGTCTTGCCAAAGAGCTGATGGGTGGGCCATTGACAAGCATCCTGGTTACAGGAACAGAAACTGGGAGCCAGGCTGCATGAAGGGATGAATAAAAACGGGAAAATATTCGTCCCTTTGTATTCATCGGGGGCTCCGGACCTGACAAATACAAAGGAACAAATATTCCACGATATTTCACGAATATCATGATTTGTTTTTTTATATGTCCCCGTATCTATTCCACAGCTTGATATATGTGACGGGACCCACCTTGGGTCTCAGCTGAACTTTCAAATGGCCAGACCATGCTAGTTACTTGATTCTTGAAGTCTGAAAAGCCCCTTCTGAGACTTTAAGAGTCATATCACAGGTAAAGGCAAATATTTCTGCTTCTTCCAATATAATCCTCTCCAGGCATGCCCGTCCTTCAGTTTTACTGTGCTTGAGGTATCATACGTGAGAACAACGCCATGTTATCTCCCAACCAATTACAACAGGAAAGGAAGCTGATTTGTCAAAAGGGAACCCACAGAATCATAGAATGATGGAGATGAAAGGAACAGGTCCAACCCACTGCTCAAGGCAGGAATTCAAATCATAGCAAATCTGACAGATGGTTGTAGAATTTTCTCTTGAATGCCTCCAGTGTTGGAGCGCTCACCACCTCCCAAGGTCATCGGTTGTCACACTGCTCTAACGGTTGAGAAGTTTTTCCTGGTATTCAGCCTAATTCTGGCTTCCTGTAGCTTCAGCCCATTGTTGTGTGTCCTCCACTCTAGGATGATCGAGAACAAATCTTGCCCGTCCTCTGTAGGGACTACTTTTCAAGTACAGTGGTGCCTCGTTTAGCGATGTTAATCCGTGCAGCAAAAATCGCTGCTATGCGATTTCATTGCTATGCAATTTTAAAAAGCCCATAGAAACGCATTAAAACGTGTTTAATGCATTCCTATGGGCTTAAAAACTCACCTTATGCGAAAATCCTCCATAGGGGCGGCCATTTTCGGTGCCTTTAAAGCGAGGCAAAACAGCAGGTGGCCATTTTGTTTACCCGCGGCCATTTTGGAACCGCCAATCAGCTGTGCGAAAAAGAGGGCTTTGCGACGATCGCTTCTCCGCGATCATCGCAAAGCGAATTTTCCCCATAGGGGCCATCGCAAAGCGATGGCTCTGGAGATGACAAAAAGTCCATCGCAAAGCAATTTCGTCGTAAAACGGAGCGGTCGCTATGCGAGGCACCACTGTATTTGAAGAGTGTTCTCCAATCTCCCCTCCCTCTTCTTTTCTCGAGACTAAATATGCCCAGTTCTTTCAGTCTTTCCTCCTAGACCTTGATCTCCAGACAAAGTTCACACCAGGCTCTACTCCAAAAAGAATGTGCTATTTCTAAAGAGGGAATCAACATCTCCTTGAAGGAGGCGCTTAGGAAGTGGCAACAATAGCTTTGAGCTAAAATATCTTGAGGTTTCTGAGTCCACCGTTTTGCCTTCAACTCTGCGCATGACTGGAAGGCATGCTCTGGAGAACATATCTAGAACAAATTCAGCCCCTTGGTCTAAAACAGGTCTCATGCCCTCATTTCAAGGTGCTACTCACAGGCTCTTGGAAGTAGAGCTGATAATCAAAGGCAGGGTTGGATTCCACCAGCTTCAGTGCATCTACGCCAGGACGTGCAGGCTTGTAAGGGGTATTGAGGCTAGCCACAGCCCTAAAACACCAGGAGAAAAAATGTTTTAAAAAGGGAATCGCTGGGACTGACAAATGCAGAAGTCTTACAGAAGCTTACTTAATACTTAGATGCTTGACATCTAACCAATGCAATGGTATAGTTTTGTATTTCTTTTGTTTATAACTTCCCACTCTTTTTGAATAAATATTTTATAGGTTACCCAAGCGTGATTCTTGGGGGAAACAAGGGTTGGAGCACCTAAAGGAAGCGCCTTAGCCACAAGGGCTATGTTTGCTATTTTTTGTTCTTTGGGTGTCCTACCTCGTAAGGCTGGTGTTCAAGGTTCAAATCACACCACTAAAGAGCTTTAAGCTCAAATACCGGAGTTGCTCTAGGCCACCAAATGGGTTCCCTCTCCATTCCCAAAGAGTTATGGAGTGACGAGGGCAAGCAGGTCCCTCAGGCAGCTTCATGGAGATTGTGTGGGCTACGAGCATGGCTACAACAACCCCCGCCCCAAAAATGGGTTGAGCATATGATGAGAAGGCAGGATTCTTCCCTGGAAAAGACCCTTGTGCTGGGAAAGGGGGAAGGCTGCAGGAAAAGAAGACCCAATAGGAGATGGACGGACCCCTCCCCCCCCAAAGAAGCAACAGGCTTGAGTCTGCAAGAGCTGAGGACAGGGACCTTCAGGGGATTGCTCATTCATAGCTTTGCCAGCAACAACAACAACAACAACAACAACCACAGGAAGAGTAGTAACAACACAACACAACACAACAACAAAAACAACAACTTACTTCAGGGGATGGGATTGCTCATTCATAGCTTTGCCAGAAGTCAGAGGCGACTTGATGGCACATAACAGCAACAATGCAACAACAACAACAACAAAAGTAAGAGTAGTAGTAGTAACAACACAACAACAACTTACCTGACACGCTCTGGGTAAAACTGAGCCATACCCCACACTGTGATACCGCCCCAGTCATGACCAATGAAGGTCGCCTGCGAAATGCCCTGCAAGAGAAAAAAATATATGCCATGAGTTCGTACACTAGGCAGACGTTCCTCCCCTGAGCACCAGGTGTTTTCTTCCCCTGCCGCCTCAGCCTCGGACTGACGGAGTTTTCTGCCCCCCAAGGTTCTTCCCCTGCCGCCTCAGCCTCGGACTGACAGAGGCCGACAGCAGCGGCCCTGTGGACCCCCTTTTGGGTCAGGGGGCTCGGAAAAGGTCGTGACGACGGCCTGCTAAAAGTTTTCGTTGCCTTTGCAACTTCAGCGGGTGGACGGCGGGCTAGCATGCTCCTTACCTATTTATGGACCAGTTACCTTTCTACTCCTCCTTGGGGAGGGGGGGAGAGGACATCGCACCCCTGTTCTACTGGTGAACAGGGGTACAATGACGTCCCCCCAACCTCATTTCCCATTCTCTCCGCCGGCTGCTTCGGGATCCCTGTGGATCAGAGGCACGTCCTCCACGTTGCGAGAACATCGGGGCGTGTTTCATGACCTCTCAAGAAGAGCTCAGCCCCCGGCCAGCAGCCAGGCCGACCACCAGCCCCTCGTCTATTAGGCGTGATGGCCCACGCGGCGTTTCGCGGCCGGTGGCATCAGAACGATAAGGTGCACGGCCATGAACCACAACTCCATCCTACCCTGGCAGATGAACTCCCGTCCAGGAGCTCAGATTACTACATGGGATTTATTTTTTTCTCACAAGGGAACAAGTCACTGGCTGGAAAGGGACACCCTGCCACATTATCTTGAAAAGCAGGGACAAGAAGGAAAAATATTAAAATTCCAATTTGTACCACCCAGGCTCTTACTTAACATAAAAGGGTTACTCTTGCTTTCAAGTGCCATCTGTCTGCACCAGATACGGCCCTGTTTTCAGCTCTGCCTCTGCCAGCCTCTTTCCCCGGCCGTTCCAAAAGGCCACTGAAAGGCAGCAAGATCTCTTGTGGGTTCCCTTGAAGGTCTCTATCAATTCCCGGGCACTGGGAAAGGGCAAGGCGCCCCTGAGCTGACCAGGCAAACCAACGCGTGCCAAGCCAACCCTTCTGCTGGGCCGGTCTTTTCCAACCCAGTATTCTGCAGCATTTATTCTTCATTTATTGACTTATTAGACGGAGATACCAGCCCATTCGTGCAGTGCACTAACAGGAATGAATAAAATGCATCCTATTAAAGGACAAACACGTACCAAAAGGTTGAAAAACCTTCAGCCAACCCAAGTGGCCCCTACGGCAAATTCTCAAGGAGACAGCACGACTAAGAGGCATGAACCAAGCAGGGTCCGTGTGGAAGGCCTCCTTGAAACGCAGCTTTTTTTAGTTGCCTTCGAAACGTTCAGAGGGAAGGGGCCAGGAAAAGGATTCGAGCAGGTGCTGGTTCCATAACATCGGACCCAATGTGAAGGACCAGCCTCTCATGGAGGACTCCTGGGCTTCCCTTGGGGCAGCTATCCAGAGCATAGCCCAGGAGGATCTGGTGAGTTGGGTAGATGACATGGGGAAGAGAGACACTCGGACTGATAGCATCGGCTCAAACTTTGAAGGGCTCTGTATGGGAACGTCAGAACCCTGAACCTGATCCAAGACACAATGGGTCACCAGGGGAGGTGGGCCAGAATGGGAATGGTGCGTTTAAGGGGCTCCCACCAGTTACCAGCCTGGCCATGGCATTCTGCACCTGGTATAGTCTCTGGGTCAGTTTCAAGGGAAGCCCCACGTAGAGTGCACTGCAGTAGTCGATCCGGGAAATGACAAGTGCCTGCACCAATGTCCTGAGTGAACTCTCATCAATGTAGTGGAGGACTTGGGCAATAGGTAAGTGGCTCACTTCAGACGGTGTTGGTCCTAAGGCACAACCCTCCACCAAGGCTATGTTTTTAAAACCTGCATCTCCAAGGGTCCTCCTCCATTTGGGCAGGGAAAAAAAAGGCTCAGCAATCCCTCCTTATCAATTCTTGCTGCTAAGGAAGTAGAGACAGGAAGCCAGACCATAGAATCATGTTGTTTAGTCAATAAGTTGTGTCCAACTCTTCGTGACCCCATGGACCAGAGCACACCAGGCCCTCCTGTCTTCCACTGCCTCCCGGAGTTGGGTCAAATTCACGTTGGTCGCTTCGGTGACCCTGTCCAGCCATCTCATCCTCTGTTGTCCCCTTCTCCTCTTGTCTTCACACTTTCCCAACATCAGGGTCTTTTCCAGGGAGTCTTCTTTTCTCATGAGATGGCCACAGTATGGGAGCCTCAGCTTCAGGATCTGTCCTTCCAGTGAGCACTCAGGGTTGATTTCCTTCAAAATGGATGGGGTTGTTTTCCTTGCGGTCCAAGGGACTCTCTCGAGAGCCTCCTCCAGCACCACAATTCAAAAACATCAATTCTTTGGCGGTCAGCTTTCTTTATGGTCCAGCTCTCTCTTCCATACATCACTACAGGAAAAACGACAGCTGCTGAGAGATGACTGCAGCTTTACATTTATGCTGTTTAGGTCTTTTAGGCAGAGAAGGCTCTGGAACCGAAGAGGTGGACATCTGATGTTTAGTGGAGGGCTTCAATATTGATGATTTCGGTATCCAGCGCTTCGATTTATGGGTTTTTGAAGTTTTAGACAAAGTGGATGGAACGTTGGAGTGGGATGGCGTGGTTGCTGTGAGGCCTCATTGCTTTGGCTTCTGAGGTGGCCTTAGGAGAAGGTTGTGCCAAGGTACTTATCCGGGTGGGGAGGGGCCTTATTCTAATGTGTTTTTTGCGACCGCAGAAGCTCCACAACTTTCCGATGAGGCTCCTTGCAGGCGCAGATCACCCAGGGTGTGATTCACAGAGGCCATGAAGAAGAACCATAGCTTTGACTATGCGGATCTTTGACAGCAAGGTGATGCCTCTGCTTTAAAAGATGCTGTCAAGGTTTGTCATGGACAGAATCACAGAAAAGGTAAGTTGGGAGGGGCCTCTAAGGCATCAAGCCCAACCCCTTGCTCAAGGCAGAAATACCATCAAAGCAGATCTGCCAGGGGATGATCTAAGTTTCTCTTGAATGCCTCCAGGGTTGGAGCACTCGCCAACTCCCCCTGAGGTCACTGGTTCCACTGTCGTACTGCTCTAACAGTTAGGAAGTGTTTCCTGATATTCAGCCGATATCCGGCTTCCTGTAACTTGAGCCCATGGTTGCATGTCCTGCATTCTGGGAAGATCAAGAACAGATCCTGCCCCTCCTCTGTATGACAGTCTTTCAAATATTTGAGAAGTGCTCTCCTATCACCCCTCAGTCTTCTCTTCTCAAGGCTAAACATGCCCAATTCATTCAGCCTTTCCTCATAGGGCTTGGTTACATCCTTGTCGCCCTCCTCTGAACTTGTTTCAATCGGTCAGCGTCCTTCTTGAAATGTGGTGTCCAGAACTGGACACAAGACTCAAGGGGAGGCCTAACCAGTGCTGAATAGAGGGGGACTAGCACTTTGCAGAATTAGGAACTGTACTTCTATTTATGCACCCTAAAATAGCATTGGCCTTTTTTGTAGTCACATCACACAGTTGGCTCATGTGATCTACGACAACTCCAAGATCCTTCTTGGTTAAGGAATCTGGGAGTTGCAACTGAAGGGGAAAAAACCAAACAACAACTGGTTGTTGTGGGTTTTTCGGGCTGTTTGGCCGTGTTCTGAAGGTTGTTCTTCCTAACGTTTCGCCAGTCTCTGTGGCCGGCATCTTCAGAGGACAGCACTCTGTCAGACAGTACCAGAGCACAGAATGCTGTCCTCTGAAGATGCCGGCAACAGAGACTAGTGAAACGTCAGGAAGAACAACCTTCAGAATATGGCCAAAGAGCATGAAAAACCCACAACATCCATCAGATCCTGGCCGTGAAAGCCTTCGCAGATACATCAAAGAACAACTTTTCAAAGCCTTGTACTGACCACCTTTTGCTCCCCCATGTCTCATGAAGCCATGAAAAGCTCTTCTCATCCCCACCTGATTCTTTGGGTCAAGTTGTCCAGTTTTGAACTTGGGACCTTCTGCATGCAAACCAGGTCCCCCAGGCACAGAATGACTGTGTCCCATCAAGTTGTTCCTGATTTACAGTGACCTTCATAGGGTTTTCTACATATAAAACACTCAGACGTGGATGATGGTCCCTCCTTCTGGGGGCGCCCTGGGAACACTTGTGCACCTTGCCCAAGGTTGTGCAGGCTGGCTCTACATCTGGGAAGGCCCAGCGGGAGACCCGTACTCCCAACCTCTGGCTCCGCAGCCGGGGGCTCCATCTCACAGGCAGATCCAGCCACATCTGATGCCGTCATCTCCACCCAGAGCCCAGTGGGTGAACCACAGACAAATAGCCCCTTCCGTCTTCAGGCAGACCTGCCCCGTGACAGCATCCTCTGGGTTTCCTATCGTTCAGGGATCTACCATAATTTGAGATCCATGAGGCAGGCTGGGTTCTTTAGTCACTTACAGCTTGGCGGCGTGTCTAATGATCTGGACGTCTTCCTGGTTGCCTAGAGAGGCTTAACACCTTTTTATTCTCTGCGTCTTGGATCCAACATGATGCAATGAGCGCGCGCACACTCCCAATGAGTGTACGCACACTCCACGTTGCCCACTGTTTGAGCTGTGCAGGATCTCTCGAGTGTCAGAGAGCCAGCCTGTGTCGGCCCCTCGATCAGGGCTGCTTTAGGCTTCTCGGCTTCTCTTCTGCCTCATCAGCAGCCGCTCTCCCCGGCACGACCCTGGCGTAGCAAATTCTTCTTGATTGAAAAGGGCTCCTTCGCTTTCCCCAAATTGCACGCTGGCAAGAAAGACGGCCGGGCTTTTGCTGTAGCAGCAATAAAAAGATCTAAGCCTTGTCACGGGAAGCGAGGCAGCCTGGAAACCAGAGCGCTCAGGCGCAAGAGGCCAGCAATTCGTAACAAGAACAGAGATTTTATTTAAAAGAGTCCTTTGCATTCCCAAGGCAAAACGTTCAGCACAGTCTTTTTTCTACAATATTGTTTTAAAAGGTAAACTTTACAA